ATTTGACCTTGAAGTTTCCTGTGACCTTGACCTCACTTTTCTTAGATTTGCATTTTGCTTAATTTTAAAGAAACCGTTTAACATATGATTGCGCCCATGACAAAAGGGCCTTATGGCAATTTTGCTAAAACAGAGAAATAACGTCATAAAGATATGACGTTGCAGACGAGGAGCGTCGACGCAGATTTTTTTATCCACGTGTTTTACGTTTTGACACTTCTACCTTTTGTCGTAGTTCTCAACATTGAAATAATTATTTATTTTCATTATATCTTTAATTCACGTCTTGATCTTCTAGTCCACTGATATTAATTAAAATATTTAGAGTTTATTCGAGACCCGTTTCCTTTCTACATGTAGCTTTATACGTCTCTGATCTAGGCCTATTCATTTCCTACATGTATAGAAGCTTCAGACAAGGTGATTTTCTGGATAATTGAATATAGATGAACGAATGCGAATTTGATATATAACAAATTGAAGTTACTTGTTAGACACGGGTCTATTATCAAAATATTGCAGAGGAAATCGTTTCCTGTATAAGATCCGCTCCACCATTCTCAACATATCGATCATGTAAACATTGAATCATTGGTGCATCGTGCATAAATTTTTGTTGTAAAATGCTTTAATTGCTAAAAATTTGAAACTGAACACATGCACTTCTTCCAACAGAAAAGAAAAGTATTCTTTAGGTTTTCACAAATCTAGCAAAATTACGAACGTACGAACGAATGACAGACGTGATATTATTTTTAAGAACTATAAATGAAAACAAGAGAGGTAACTCTGACAATCGAGGTGCTAGAGAGGTACAAGAGAGGGACTTTCTTTCCGTAGTATAAAAATATTTTTAAAAATCTTATTTTTCAGCAGTTAAAAAAACGTTTTAATTGTAAGTATTATATTTATATTTTCTTTAAAAAGTATTTTTGAAAACTCATGGAACTAGCTGCAGTCAGAGTGAAAGAAAAAATATAAAATAAGAAATAGATGCTTCATTGAACCATACTTTCATTTTTTTAAAAAAAAATCTGTTACATGTGCATCTATTTATTTAACATGAAATTATTTTTAAAAATAACTTGAATTTTATATTATTATTTTTTTCCTGTAATAATGATCATAAATTTAAGTAAAATAAAATGAAACTTAAAAAAAATTTGTTTCGTCCTATTTTTGTTGTTGCCATTTCCGATGTAAGTACTTGAAAACAAACAAAAACTATCGAATGAAATAATTTTTTTCTAATTGTTCTAGCTTAAATATTAAAAAAAAACCAAGTTTACATGTATGTATACCTCATGTGTGTGTGTGTGAGAGAGAGAGATAGAGAAAGAGAGAGATGTTACATTAAATCCAGTTTATTAATACATAGAAAATTGAAACTTTAATGAAAAGTAAATTTTCAAAAACACAATATCGTATCATGAAAAGAAATCTCTTTTTTTTTCTTTTGCTGTCTTGTTATTTTCAGTAACTCGAAAATATAATATTCTGGTATACTCGTGTTGTGCATAAAAAAGTTAAAAGGTTTTAGCTTAATCTGCAGTTTTTAGTCACTTAAAAGTCAAATATATGTACACACAATCCTTGCCATTCATAGAATCTCAGCATTGTAGGTCATTACAGTTCTATTATCAATCTAAAACTCGTTTTCTTATTGAAAATATAATCTCAGTTATCCGTTTGGTATAATATTGCATAACTTGCCATTGAATTATGTAAACGAACTGATTATGTTGTTTGGATTTATTGAAATAATTCTTGGTTAGATCAAATTGTGATTAAACATGCAATGTGCAAATTAAATTAAATGCTAAAAATATACTGCACAAAAGATTAAGAGTATGTTTGCAAATTTTTTATTTTTGCGGCAGTGCAGGAGACCGGGGAAGGGGACCAGGGTCATTTTATATTACCGGGACCTGACTACTGTACAGTGTATTTGAAAAGCTTTACAAGGATAAGCATATCCATGTCTCTGGAATGGGACCAGAATAGAATTCTTATGTTGCAAAACTTCATATACAATAACATTAGAAAACAATAACATTAGAATTTCATACGATAAAGAAGCCGCGAGAAAGGGGATGGGGGATTCTACAAACACCATCACATAACAATATTTACAGGTACCTAAATGTGTGCTACCTCGTAAAAAATCTGTCATTTAAAAACTCAGTCAGCCAAGGAATATTACGAACCAGTCGATTTAACTGACTGTATATATAAAATTTTCAATTAATTTTTACACCCCCCCCCCCTCGCTGAAAAAATTCTATTAATTAATCTGCATGATTCATAACGACATCATAATAATTATATATAATTATTTATGATTTATTTCTTAGAAAAATCTATTTGATATTAATCTAAAAAATGACATATTGATTTCATTCAAAGTTCGGATAAAATTTGTTTAAACGATAATAAAATACCCGATATCTATTAATAACCATTTAATTTCACAAAATCAAACAAAATTTTTATTTTAGGACGCCATTTTTCTCATGATTAAGTGCATGTGTAGATCTGATAGCAGTTAAGTTTCCAGTTACAGGCATGTGGAGCTCATGATCGCTGTTTGTTTTGAAAATGACCCTGCTCATATACATGTACGTAAGGAGAGAGTTCAAGGTGCAAAAATAAATTGAGGAATTTTTTCCAATATTATTTCAAACCTAACCAAATGGCGTATTTGGAGGTTATGAGGTTGATGGTGGGAAGGCATCCCCCCTGCACACCTAAAATTTAGGAAGGTTTTAAAAATACGACAACCTTCGTATGCTATTAAACTCATGTTAACTACAAGTATTGCATGTTTCTGTTCTGTCATTTAACATTTAACCCCACCACCCCCCAACACACAACACACACAATCCAACCACTGGTCACCCTGGATCTGTTACTTTCCTTAATGCATGTTTATTATAATTCATCTGTTTGTTTATAATTTGTCAACCTGCTTACTTAAAAAGTAATTATTCAAAAATTTTCGTTGCTCTGACTGAAATATGTGTATCATTTCAATTTAAAAAAAGAAGTTTTGTTACCACATGCAGGCAGAAGTCCTTCTTAATTTTTGTTTAATGTTTTTTTTTTTTTTATCGAATATTGCTTATCTTGCAGTGTATCAACTTAATGTCCTTAAATTGTTGTATAGCATATATACGGTAACTCAGTACATTTCACAAATTTTCTGTCTAATTATATTTAGAAGAAGAAAAAAAACAACAACAAAATTCACTACCCAGTAGCATCTTCTTTATTGTTGTGCTGAGGATTTTTTTGAAATATTTTAAACTTCACATTTTGAAAGATATATCGCTTATACTGGATTCACACCCCCCCCCCCCCCCCAATGACATCTTGTCCTATCGAGAGCTATGCTTAAAATGAGATGATTTTCGAATGAATTCTACAGGTTTCTCAAATGATTATACTTTGGTTTGAGAGAATAAATTGATATTGAACAGAAGCCGCTTGCTTCTCGGGTTTTCCTCACATCCCAGCATAGTGAAATGTAAAACGAACACACACTCATAATTCTATACACCACTGCATGATGGATAATAATTATTACAACTATTCATTATCACAATCTAATTAAAATTAGACGTTCCGAATCCGCTACCGCTTCTCAAACATCTAACAACATCCCATTCGGGGTCACGTCAGAGCGACCTTTCGATTACCCAATGAAATCGCCGTCGTCGAAATCTTGGCTTATAGTTCGGATGTGTTTCTTTTTTTACTGCCAAACTTAAACGCCCGAGGGGTTTCGTAGTAAACAAAATATGAATCAGATTCAACCTTCTGTATTCAATTCTAAAATTAGTTCCACGGCTACATCTCTATATTATTGATGCTCTGTAGAATGTCTTACATTGAATTAAAGTAATTTTGGTATAAATTGAATGTATAGTCCGCCAATCTGGCATTCTTACCTGAATAACGCAAACGAAAATGCACAAACTACTATATATCCCGCACGTCACATTCATATATAGCACGGTCTTTACCATGGGCCAAAATTTTTGTTTATTCATAATCGAAAGGTCGCTCTGACGTGACACCGAATGGGATGTTGTTAGATGTTTGAGAAGCGGTAGCGGATTCGGAACGTCTAATTTTAATTAGATTGTCATTATCATATTATACAATTAAATTTATCGAAAGAGGCAATGGCTCAAAAAATGGTTCTGGAAATGCGCAATAACATACATTTATTAGCGTAGTAACATTACAATGCAAAGTCAAAGTCATGTTCACTCTGAAAACTTTTGACGTTGGTGCGAAAGTAACATGACGTCATCGTTTACCTGTTAAAGTATCATTGATATAAATGAAGAAAAAAAACTACTTAGAGTTGACGTACGACCATAAAAATTCAGATTTGGCAACTTCTAATCTTGCTCTATTAAAATCCATGAAAAACTCCAAATGTGTAAAAATTGCCATAAGGTCCCTTTTCCCATGGGCACAATCATATATTTATGTAAGTTTATGCACTTATAGAATTTATCATCTATATCCAACTTTTTAGATTTCAATTTTAAAGGAAATTTTCAAGATATCCTCATCAAATTTCATACACTAATACAAATTTTCAAGTTGCATTACTAATATACCCTCGGCGGGGCATTCATGTCCTATGGACATATTTCTAGTATTTTTACTGTTTCTGGTGACAGTAGGGGGTATTTCTTGCCAAATGAGGTCTAAGATGATTTTACCATCATATACAAAATGAATCTTTCATTATAATGTATACATGTCTAGACTTTTATGACAGGTCATACACATCAGTGTACGCATATACAAGGTACTCCATAAAATCCGTTCCGCTGAATTTTGAACTCCTTACTCTTATGTAAATTAGAATAGTTCTTTTAGCAAGGTATGGAAAGGTGGGTTGTCTTTATTATGCTTTTCATTCTGAAATAATTTTCCACGGCAATGCCAATTGATGTATAGAAAGTACATTTGCCATAACAGCAATTATCATGCTGAATTTATTTGCATTGAGTAATCAAAGCACTTTTACAGCAGTGTCAATTGATGCATAGAAAACAATTTGCCATTAGAACAATAAAATCATCTCGCTGAATTCATTTGCAGTGAATATTTGCTTTTATGATTTAAAGATAGCACACCTCTTACAGTGACATTTCTAGTTATCATGTACAAAGCATTTAAATATGAGTATAAAAGGCATAATAAATATTTGGCACATGCTTGCGAGAATAAAACATCTGATCAAAAAGGCTTATAATAGAATGAACAATTGTTTACACTGAAAGGGTGTATCAGTCTGAAGATGCTACCTAATTAAAGTGACGGTAGACATATAACCCCCCCCCCTTTCAAAAAAAAAGTTTGCTGTACTTTGGCTCTAGGAGCAACGTGTATTGCGTTTTAGATACTTTACTTTGCAATGAAATGAAAAGTAATATTTTGACAAACTTGAACTCAATTTTAAAAATCAACAAACAAAATTCATATGTGTTATGACATTTTTCGGCTATCCAATGGCAGATCACATTACTATTTTGTCAAAATTAAAAAAAAGGTAACAAAGTAACACCATCTTCACCACAGGCAGATAAATAAGTTTCTTTCAATAATAACAAGCGAGGAATAAATGAATAGCAAACAATATCCCTGTAAACAAAGCAAGAATAGCTCCGGATCCAGAGACGTATAAGGACCAGCCAAGATAGTCTGTAGTTGCCAGGGAAACATGAGTGACGTCAGTGACGGAAACGCTGGCTGCGCCAATCATTAATCCAACCACTGCTAAGGTTAATGTAGCTGAAAAATGAAATATTACTGTTATTAATAGGTATAATCACCAATCCCCCCCCCCCAAATTACCCCCCTTTCAAAATAATGAACATCTTATCCACTTTTAAGAAATCAGATTTTTTTTCAAACGAATGCAATGATTTACAGGCATTTGACATACTTTTGCAATTATCAATGTCGTCTCTTGATCTTAAAGCTACAACGCCAGTGCTTAACGTCTAATTAATTTATATCGTTTTCTCACCTCCCACAATGCAAAAGAAGCATGCCACGGCCCCGATACCCAGTTTACTGTGGCTTATCACTTTTTTGCAAGGATAGATAAATATCAGGATTTCTGAAAGGAACATAAAGAGACCCGCAAACACGGCCAACGAAATCATGATGTTCCAGAACGTCACGCCTGTAGAATAAAATCAAACACAGTTTAAGTTTTCTATAAAGAATTTATTCCTTAAGAAAGTCGAAATTAAATATTAATAAATATATTGGTTAAGCTTTGACTTACTGTCTGGATTGGACGACGAGAGTTCTGTAACAGAAAAAGAACATGAAGTAACTGATGACGTGCATATCTGAAAAATTCCGTAAGAGGTTCCCCCGAATATCAGCCAATATGGTAGTCCTATTCCAACAAGGATCAGAACTAAAGATATGGTCAGAAATAATGGACATAACATTCCAAGCACCTGTGCGCTCGGTGGAACGTCATAGGTTCCGAACATTATGACGTCACAATGGTCCTCTTTGAACACTGGTTACTTTTATTCAGCTACTGTCTATTTATTCTTTGAAAGTCTTCAATCAAGTATGACAGAACAGACGTCACATTATAACTTTCCTTGGTCTGTATTTATCAGTGTTTCCTCCTTATATCCTTGATTCATACCATGACTTTAAATATGAAATTATTTGTCGTCACTATTACCATGTTTTGGGAAATAAACAAATACTTTAATGTATACCCGAGAGTTCTACCTAAATGGCACTACATGTAAATATTCAATTATGTTCAATAAAGGGGAAAATCTCACCATTACGTCAATTTATATTCCTTTCTTGGGTTTTCTTTTAGCATTCAGTGATGCGATGAAGCGCTCAATGGTCGACGTAGATCATACAAGAAATCTTTTATGACAGAGAATGAATTTGTCTTCAAAAGAACAAACAAAACTACAAAGGGCTTTAAACAACAGTCACAATACCATCCTGTACACATCTAAACAGTGCAAATATTAATTCTTGCTTATTAGAGCCTCTCTATTCATACAAACTGCATGTCTACTCATAAGAAACATTTATACCCATATACATGTCTAACTTTATATCGTTTTTGTTGTGTCTTGTTTGATTTGAGCAAATTTAGGATCAATTATGACAAACAAATACATTTCCGCCAACTTGAAACCTCCTCCCCCCCCCCCCCCCATATAATGAAAAAATACAAATAACCCTGCATCTCAACCTTTTTTTTACACTGGAAAAATTATAAATAACACATAACTTATTAGCGAATTAAATACATGAACTGTGACCAAGAATAAGGACTTTGCATGAGAAATGTCACATTTTATGTATGAGAACTTTAAACAGTTTTCCTTTTCCTTTTATCCCCTCTCCTAAATAAGTGAAGATTTGTCTCTTCATATCATGTTGAATTGTAAAGAGACATTTGTAATTTTTTTGCAAATCATATAATTTTATAATCAAAGAAAAAAAGAAAATTATACTGATAATGTTAAAGTATTTTGTTTGATAAAATCTAAAAGCTTATATAAGGACCGTTAAAATATAAAACATATATATGGATTCTCACTATTTCATTATCTATTTTCGGAATAAAGACAATGGAAACAGGGAAAATAGGGGCGGGACAAAAAAAAACATTTTTGTTACCGCAGGAAATTTTTGGGAATAAACAGGGTTTTATTGCTCAAATATATATCGATCCCTATACGCATTCCCTTCGATAACTAAAATACGTGGACATTTTGCTGTGTTTCTAAAAGATAAGAGCACTAGAATACCTTTTAAAAATATACGAAGACTTTAATTTTGATTGCTAGCGCAGATAAGACTTAAAAGAAATTAAACCTTTGCATCGTGTCTGTCATGTTTGGTTTGAAAATTGATACAATTATTCAATAATGAATAACACCTTGAAACATTAAAAAATAAAAAGCTCACTTTCTGCCAAGGACTGTCATTAAAGCTGCACACCGAAAAACCTCCTATCGGTAGGCCTCATTATGTTTTTATTAGGATCGTCCTGAAATCTCAAAATGTTACTTTGGTCCACTTTAAGATTTTTTGACATTCCGGTAACTACATAATTTATTCTTTAACTCCAAAGCGATTTTTAGTTTGGTGATTTTAAATTCACAAGATTATATAAAAAATAAACCTAATGTTCCCTACTTCCCTTGTTTGGATCTAACTGTGTTTCAACGAAATTTACGTGATATTTTGCACACAGGAGGTCCTGTGAATAATAAATTTTTGTTGTTTGTATATATTTATACAAATAACATTTTTTTCAAAGACGATTTATATTTAACTAGAATTCTACATTCTATCAATCAACAGCGGCATTGTTGCAAACGACAAGAAGAAGTAATGGCGTTTAATTTAATATCAAAACAGGCTGTAGGTGTGCAAATATTTTAATCAGCGAAAGTTAACAAAAACACATATAAAATATAAAGACAGAAAACAAGGAAGGAAATGCCGGACCCCACAGCTGCTGTGTAAAATGACCAATCTAATGTCCACGTCTGTAGATTGGTGATGTAATATGACGTCATCAAAACTGTGCCACTTACTGCACACCCCGCTGAAAAAATAAATCTATGTTTTTACACAATATATATAATTTTAAACAGTTTGCACTTCTTTTCTTTTGTTTGATATTTCAGTCACAGTCACCTTAAAATGTTATACTTTAACAAAATCTTTGAGAACGAGAAAACTTGTATATAAAGCTTACCTCCTAGCATGATAACAACGGAGATGAGAATGCCATAGCTGGTTTTGGAATAGTCAATTTCTTTACACGCCAGATAACAGCAGGAAAATAGAGAGGCCAACAACAAAAGACACGCCCCAGACAGTTCTAATCCGGTCACTAACTTCCACGTAAAATTCACTGCAAAATGGTAAACAATTTTAGTTATATCTTTTGAGCTTCTCTTAGTTAAAAATTATTTTTGTGTACTATTTATATATGCCTAGGCCAGATTATATGCCAAGTATAAAGATACAAGTTCTGTATGCATCATTTCTCGAGAAATGTTATGGTACCATGTTCTGTATATGTTCCAAAATCCCTTTCTGAAAGTGTGTATACTCACAAACAGAGAAACATTAAAAAAAAATTACTAGTATATGAGGAAAGTTTTGCGGAAGAAAGGTAGTGATGTCTCTCTCTCTCTCTCTCTCTCTCTTTTTTTTTTTTTTTTTTTTTTTTTTTTTTTTGGGACTTACTGTAAGAAGATGCAGTTGTGAGGTAGGTGTCAATGTATTCACAAGTCGATGTCGAATGGTCGCACCTCTGAAACAACCCAATACTGTGTGTTCCAGCCGTGTCATACCAATACGGCGTGGACGCTCCAACGGCAACAAGAATAGCACAGACCGGCAGGAAAATTACACAAATAATGCCAATAGCCGTGATACATGTTCCTAAATCGTCCGTCGTTCGGTCGTCTGTCGATTTTGTAGTTTCCTCATCATAGTCACTAACATCTTCATCTATGTATAAGAAGTTGTCTTTTTTTAAGTAGGACTCTTGTGGCCGTACGGTGTAACCATTTTTGAGATCCCAGTTTTGGTTAAGCCTGTAAGATTTGGTGAATGGTGTTACAAAGTTTATCTTGTTGATTTTTTTGGTGTTAGAAAAGTTTGGATCACCGATCTTGTTTGACATCTTTAATCTGAAAATGAAAAGGGTAAAGTTTACTAAATAGTATTTATTAAACTGTAATGCGTATTGTCAATTTAACCATGTGTACAAATGCACATACTAGTGAATAGATCTGGCCCCATATCCGGTTACTAAGTAAGAAATGAATTAAAATGTCACTAATATTTTTAACTTATAAACAAAAAATGTTTGAATATTATAACACTGATGTTTTTTTTTCTGATATAAGTTGAAACAAAGGAACTTGAATTTTAAACATTTTCTTTATAAATAAAAAAAAATCAAATTAATCAAAACCATAATAATGACTGTCAATATGTTATAGTATGGATATTTTTTATTTATAAAGAAATGTCTGAAATGTCAACTGCCTTGGGTTGAAAAGGTAAAGACTCTTTTTATTATTTATAGTTTTATAATTTATCTGAAAAATGCCATACACCATACTATCTTTATATATTCAAGCATGTGTTAAAAATAAATTTCCCCTCACGGAAAAGAAAAAAAAGTTTAATTTCAATTTTTAAAAGGAAAAAAAAAATACATATATATTTTTCATTGCAAAATGAAGAAAGAAATGGAGCAAATACAGTGCATTTAAACATCATAAATTTTAAATGATCTAATTTAAAATCAAAATTTACATAAAGAAATAGCTTTATCTTCAATGCATCAATGCTTGCTAACATTTACAAGTTCGATCTCTTTGGGTAATTACATAAATGAAATAAGAATTTACAAAGACAAATAAGAGCATTATACTTATATTACACATCTTTCAAACAAAAAAGCTTCATATCGTTATCCATTATATTACCTACCTCAATGTGAAATATCACTTTTGTTTCCTCATTTTCTATTGACAGATTTCTGGAACCAAACCTTGTTAGTGAATGTCGAGATGAAAAAACTGCATAAATGTCTTCTCCTTGCTGATCAAAAGTGATTTAAATTTTATTTCACGTTTACATTGATTATATAATTACGCTATACCCCCTTTAAAATTAACAGTTCCTGACGCCACAACGCGCATGACTAGCTAATTTTTTACATACAATAGTTGAATACTCCAACATTTCAGTTCTGAATAAACAGAGATTCTTTTGTGCAGAATGAAAGAGTAGTACAAATAGTTAATTCTATAACTGAATATCCCGAGAACAGAAAAAAGATTCTAATTCTAAAATATACAGGTTTCAATTCACTGAATTCATTAAAAAAAATCTTTATAAATGTAGATCAAATAATCTCTTTACAAACCACATATTGATTATATAAGAAAAGTAAATCCGATAGAGGATAATATAGATAATCCCTAATTATGTTCATATCTTTATACCTCTCTTGGTAATTAAAGTTTATAAAGTGCATCATATCTCTAGCTCCTCTCCAACGTTCAACGATTTGGTATTCAGCATTGAGATACATTTGTATATCATTCTATATTATTTTCTGTTTTTTCATCGCTTTCTATAAATAACTATTAATTGGTACAGTATGGCCATTAACAAATAAATCCAGATCTTAGGTTATTTGAACGTAATTTCATTTCAAATATTCATGATGACCTAAAAGTTGTCGCTCAAGGCGAAAGAAATTTTCTGCCAATAATCTGCAATTCGTACCGTTTTCCTGATATTTTATTACATATCTCTCCAGAAATAATTGAGTTAGGGTATATTAAGTATTGCACTGAAAGCCTCTTCTACCAAATTTTTTTTATAAGCGAAAAAAAAATATGGGAATGGAAGAGGGGGATCATAGAGGGAGCTTACATGGGGATATAGAGCAACATAAGGAGTCTGATTCTCTTTATGACTTTTTACTAATAAACAGGGGTTGTACAATTATTATCACTAAGTTATATATATATATATATCTTTAAATATAAGAAAGACATAAAATGTTACAAGAGGGGTTTTGTAATTATATGGTGAGCATATTTTTTTAATTAAAAAAAATAATGTTGACCTTTTACGTTTTCTTATACAAGACTTTAGTATTTTTCAACCTTCATAATTCAAACAAATATTTCAAAATTATAATAAAGTTTAATAGAGAGCAAGAAATCTTATTCACAATGAGAACAAAAATATTATTTTCTAAAATTTGTGCATACCCTATCTTTATGACATTTCATTCTAGAGAACATCTTTTGTTGCATAAAATATGTAGAAAATTTTAAAATATGCACAGAATGGAAGATTTAAATTCAAATAAGAAAAATAAAAAGGAATATTGTGGTTAAAACTTGTAACATTACATGTAACACAGTTTTTTATATAAATGATTGAATGACATTCATTCTGTTTTCTTGAAATATTCCTAATAACGGTCAGTATATTACATGTATTAAATTTACTGGAGTAAATCTTGCGCACAATTTCGATCAAGAGTTATCGTTCATCGTAAACTTGGGACAGATGTTGGATGCGCATGTATATACATGTTAAAGGCGTTGGAAGATCGAACAGGTAGGTGACACTAAATAAGGGGTACACCTTGCAAAAAACTAATACGTACTTTACTTATAGAAACTTCAGGGAATAGTGCTAAAATCTAACCACTGCTAACTGTTTTAAATATGTCAAAAATATGTATCAACTGAAGCGTTTATAATGCCTATAAGATTTTGTGAATATTTATATCCCGGGATATTCGATCTTAATGTCTATGAATATGTATAATACCTTATACATAAACATATTTATACATAATAAGGTAGTACCCAGTATCTAAATATATACTTAATTAATTAAACTTGCATTTACGTTTAGACAGTGAAACAAGTCAGTTTGACTTGTAATGAATGTGACATTCATTTATGATATATAACACACAAACACAGGAAATTCAAAATTTTGTTTGAGAACTTGTTGCCTATAATCAAAGTATTTTCTTAATATAATGAATTAAATGCTATATAAGGCCAAATAAAAAAATATGTATGGTTCCGGTTACCCGACCTTCCCTATTTTATACCCCCGACCCTAAACTTTTTTTTTTGGCAATTTTCATATTTTTTCCAGAATTTCCCCCGATTTCCGTCAATGGCTCCAGTTTAAGTTTTAGTTTCAGCAATGACGGCCTCCTTGCAAAACATAGTGCAAGTGTTTAATAGTGTTAAATCCAAAGCAAGCTAGCATGTAGGTGTCCCCTACCAATATTGACTAGTATATTATCACACCACATCTAAATGCCATTTGCAAAGCTGTGATAGGTATTATTTAGAAAAAATTAAGAAAATCATTTTGTTAAAAAAAAAAAAAAATCCCTACCTACCTACCCTAATTTTTTTGGAAGTGTAACCGGAACCACACATATTTTTTTGTTTGGCCTAAGGACACTATGTTATTGTAAGTATGTGATCAAAATGTTGATAAATTCTAACTACCGAATGTTCTTCCTTCTATGAATGGATGTTCTGCCAGACTTGTAAAATTAAAAAGTAACCTTAACATCCCTTTTAATTAGTGCCTGAAATGCAGTTTGTAATAATTACTTTCTAAATGAATTTAATCACAATTTTAGAAATTTACAGTCGTTTTGATCATTTCGAATACCAATATTTATCATTTGGTGTCCAAGCATTAAATACCGATGTTGTAGGGTAGGATTTCCCCAAAAGCCAGCTTTCCCCCCGGAATCTGTTATCTAAGATTAGGATCCCCCAGGAGAAATCTCACAGAGCCAAATTTCCCCTTTTTCTTACTCAGAGTAGGATTTCCCCTCTTTCATCAATGCTTAACTCATATCATACATAAGTATAGTCATGATATTTTATTGGGGGGAGGGGGAGGGGAGGGGGATTAGCTCTGGGGGAAATCGCACTCTATAACTAAAACGCAGAGTAGGATTTCCCCACAGAAAATTGATGTGGGATTTCCGTTGGTGAACTCCTACTCTAGAGCCATTTTTCCGTTGGGGAAATCCTACTCTTGAGCCTATTTTCCGGGGAGAAATCCTACGCTAGAGCCAGGACAGATTTTAGGGGGGGCTATTGTACAAGACCGGTAGTTTTTAGATCTACATGTACCACTGGAGAGAAAAATTTGTCATTTTCTGAATGTCAGAAATTCTGCTCCATGTATAAAATGAATGTATTTGTAATTTGCAGGTAAATTAAAAATGAAGAAAAACCAAAGACAAAATAAAGCTGCTACCATAGACAGGTCTGCAGGCAAAGAGACGGTACCCTTGAAAACGTATAACCTCCGGGAACGGAAGTACGAGAGTGGACAACATGGACAAGGTGTGTTAAACAAGTCATTGTCATTGATAAGAAAGACTGCTTTTTAATTGCACAAAGAATCCAATTTATTTGAATTTAGATCTAGGAGGAGATCACTCTTATTGCATAGAATCAGAACTCTCTGGTGTACAGTGTAGAGAGAGTTCTTAATCGTCTTATACAAACTACATTAAAGTTTAATTTGTTTTCTGTTTATTCACAATTTATAAGTCCTTGATCAAGTTAGGTTTATATGCATTATTAATGTCTAGTCTAATTGCATCTCTGTTTTTTTAACATTATGCCATTTAACAATATTAATTCTTTAACTTAAACTAGCATTCAATAGCTCTTCCAGCACTGAGTTAAGAAGGTTGCCAAAATTAAAGATGAAACGCACGAACACATCAAAACTAAAAATAATAAAAAGAAACTTAAATTGATCGATGTTTGGGGGGGGGGATATCTTATTAGCAATCAATTACTCGAACTGTAATTTATTTTCTTCCTAGTCTTCTTCTTTTCTTCTTTTTTTATTTTTTTTTTCTCTCTATATATTTTAAATATGATAGTAAAGCGTGTTTTTTAGATAATAGTCCGACAAAAATCCAAAACTCCAAACGGAGACGTATCCAGTTAGAGCATAATGATCAAAGAACGGATAGGAGAATAACACCGTCAGCTAGAGGACGTAAACGTCACCCTACAGATGTAGATAAATCAAACAATAAAGAGGCAAAACTTCAGGGTGTCAAAACGAAAAAGTCATTGAAAAGAAACACCGTGAAGAAATCGGAAGAAGATACCCATCTTGATGTAGGATTTCAAACGAAGAAGGTTCAGAGAGTGCTTCGATCTTCAATTCAACACACCAAAGACAGGAAGGAAAAATTAAATAAGCACCCTATTTCTAAACTGAGGCTAAAATTAAAGAAAAACGGAGACAAAAAGGAAGAGTCTCAACGTAGAAATCTGCCTGCACAATTAAAAAACCATGGTACACAGAAAAAGACCACAAAACCACGAGTAAGATGTTCGGCCTTCAATAGAAAACCCATTCCAAAGAAGGAAGAACAATTAAGAGCAAACAAACGCCTGAATTCTAAAGCTGAGAGCTTTAAAAAGTCAAAAGCAAAGACGATCAATCAAACATTGCCAAAGAATAAACACATATTGGTTCAAAAAATTAAAAAAATATGTACCAGACGAAACGTCTGCAAAAACTTTTTCCAACTTGTTTTTAAAGAAAATAAAAGTAAAACGTCATCATACTTTAGACCACACGGAGGCAAACATACACGGAATCAGTGTATCTGAAGATGATCTAGTATGGGTGAACCACTTGGTAAAACAGTTTATCTTCGATATACAACAGGAGAGATGATAAGAACTTTTGAATTAGACTTCAGACCTGTATTCAATTGTTGCACACCCTCTGGTGACGTTTTTGTAACACAGGGATATGGTGCCAATGCCAAACCTACTATAAGCTTAATATCACGGGAAGGAGATGTCAAAGTTGTGGCCGATCTTTCTTCATATGCTTCAAATCTTTGTGGAATTTTATGCCAAGATGAAAGAATATACGTTGTTGCATATCTTGCAAAATATAACAGTTACTTTGTTATCAAACTGAATATAAATGGAGGAGTTGAAAATGTTTACCACACACAGAAGGCGTCAGATAACATAAATCAGATCATATCTCTTAATGGTCAAATAGCTGCCATTCGCTCAAATTCAGACGGTTTGATGCCTTTGGAAGCCGATCGAATTTCCTCAGTAAGGATGAACAAAGTAAACATGACTTTGTATTCAGCGAGTGCATCAGTGGACAAGTTTGGGAATGTTGTCATGGCATCGAACGCATCCCTCAACATCATAAATCCAAGTCTGGAGTTTATGCATGAGATAGATACTGGTACTTCTGAAGAAATCATCTCAACAGCTGTTGATCAACAAAATCAGTTGTGGTTCGGTACCAGATCTGGAAAGCTGTATTCTACAAAATACCTAAAATAATTTACTGGATTGGGTTAATGTTTAAAGAAACAAAGCTAAGGTAGATGAATTAAAAATCGAGTGCAACAAGGAAAAATAGGAATATGGAAAAGAAACTTCTATTCATTTACTATTGCTGTATCACAGTTGATATGAACCGTAAAATACATTGCGAGTCCACAACCAATTTGCATTGACTCTTGCTATAAAATTCAAGTCGTACCAAAATCTCAGGACCAATAACCCCAAGCAAATGAAAAAAAATGAATAGACCATACAATGCATGTTCAAATAAGACTGGTTGTATCAAGAAGCTATAATTATCTCAATGACTCTTGCTTGACAATCATCACTGACTTTCTGTACATTTCCTTAACTACATTTCTATCATGGTTAAGCAGTGAGCTTAGCCGTTTATTACTTCATAACTGTATCATTATCACAATTTTCTCCGTTGAAACAAAAGATATTTAGATAACGCACGAAAGTAGAAGCAGATTATATAATTTTTTTTCTGTTTTTAATAAAGTTAATTGATATGATTATATTCTGTTTTCAATAATTACAAATTAAGAATTTTTCTGCTACGTCCTCAGAACAATAAATACAAACTTCTTCTCTACCATAGAGCACATAAACACCTGACATTTCAATTCGTGCATTTTCATGGGTGTTGCAGAATTCAACCTTTTTTTCCAATATCATTTCCAAGTATGAGTATATTAATTAGTATATGAGAAAAAATTTCATGTCTTTAAATTTGTTAAACTTAAGGAAAACATTTTGTTTTTAAGGACTGACAAGTGCACTTCGTGTGTATAAAAAAGTTTTTTTTTTTTAATGAGTGCAGGTGAGAGAATGTGACTATATTAAAACGTACCTTCAGTGTGGTGGATTTTAATTATGCCATGAAGAATCCATATAAACATAATTTTGCCTTTCATTACTACTATCTACTGATAGAATAAGAATACCCAAAGCTGTGGCTTTGACATATAACTGGGTGAAATCTAGTACTTGCAGTTTACATTCGTGAATTTCAGATCTTCTATGATTTTGCAATATAAAATAAAATTATGTATCATGCATCTTGCTTTATTTTTTTTTTCATCGTGAGGATATTTTCCAACATTCGTATTAAACACTGCTTGCGACAGACATTAGTGGATTTATTAGTATAAGTTTTGGATATCAGGGACCCAAGCTGTAAGCTAAGTATTTTTGATTTTCAGGCACACCAAACATGAGAAACCGTCGAAGACAAACTGCGAAAGCTAATGCCAGAGAGGGTGCAGTAGTGGAAGATGAGGCAGGACCCCGAAAGTCAATCAAATCCCTGAAGAGGAAATATGAAGATGAGCAAGATGAAGGTGAGTTAAAAAATCATGTTTATTATATGTATCATCAAATTTTCGACACTATATTCATTGTACGGTATCCATTTTTATTTTATTAACTCAAATCGAAAGAATAGTCTGATATTTGCAATAGTTTGTTTAACTATTGTGAGGATTCTGACATATTAAGTAAGCTCACTATCTATAAATAGGAAGAATTATGGGCAAATCTTTTTGAGCCTCGAATTCACAGAGACGCCGTGTGCGACACATTTGTAGATAACCTGTGGGTTAAAAAGCTTATGAATTCAAGCTTTTTTTAAAGGTTCAAGACCATTCATTTAATTTTCAAATTAGGTCAACAGTCAACTTCAAAATCCCAGGATATTGCCTTATACCTTATTAAATGATACATATACTTAATGTGAAAACCATCTTGTAATATACTCTGCATTTCGTCATACCGGTAGTTCTACAACTCAAAGTCATTTAATGATAAACTATGTACATCATTACGAAATATTGTTGAAAAGTAGACCAAATATCTAGTTCAAAGGTAGTCTACTTTAAAAATGCATGTACATGTTATCAGACCCTACCGCTATTGGTTTAAAAGAAAAAAAGGCTCTGATCATGACGGATGGGCAGATAGCTAGACAAGGTGCTGCCGAAATGACAAATGACCCCAAGTTGTCCCTCTGATTTGAAGGCAACACAAAAAACTGTCAATTATCGAACATAAAGGGTCTCTGTTTTTTTCCTTTTTTTTGTTTTGTTTTGTGTGTGTGTTGATTGTTTTTATTTCCCTCTTGATAGATATTTCTCATATCAACATCGCAAAGTTTTATTTATTCGTTTTGTATTTTTAACAAGTCGAGGTCTATTGCAGAAAATCATGAAAATATGTAGATAATGATCGAATGTATTCTACTATTCTTAACACTTATATTGAATGCTACACTTTCAGTTAACAGCCCCACGAAACATAACTTTAAACGAAGAAGAACCCATATGAGGCAAAATGATCAAGGTACGAAAAGGAAGGCGACATCATCGGTCAGAGGACGTAGAAGTCAGCCTTTGGCAAAAAGAAACCCTAAAGAAAAGCGGAGGAAAATACATAATGAAAAAATTAAAGCATCATTGAAAAACTCGGAAGAAAATACTACTTATAACTTAGTATTTCAGACAAAGGAATATAAAAGAGTGACTGGATCTACAACAAACAATGCTGGCAACAGTGGAAAAAGAGTAAACACGGACACGGATTCCAAATTGAGGCAGCAAATAAAGAGAACCCGAAAAAGTAAAAAACGTTTTCCGAAAGAAACTGACAAATCAAGGAAAAATAAGCGGCAAAAGACCTCGAATCCCCAAGGTAGAAGTCTTGTTGTTAAAAAATATAATCAAAAGAAAGAAAAGGAACAACGTATATCAAATATTCGCCAGAGTACACAAGCTGAAAGATGTAATAAGTCAAAAGAAAAGATAAACAAACACAGTTTACAGAAAAAGAAAAGCAGTTTGGTGGCCAAAACTCAGGATATTGATGCATCGACAAGCCAAACATCTAACAAAGATTTTACTAACTTATTTTTGAAGAAAATCACAGTGCAACTTCATCCTATATCAGGATCCCTGGGAGAGATACATGAAATCAGTGTATCTCATGATAATTTACTTTGGGTGAACTATTTGTACAATGCTGTACATCTTCGAGACACAGCAGGCAAGATTCTCAGATCTTTCAAATTGGATGCTAGAGCTGTATTTAGTTGTTGTACACCTGGAGGTGACCTTCTGTTGACGCAGGGTTATGGTGGCAATTCTAAGCCTGTCATAACTCTACTATCAAGAAAAGGGAATAGCAAAGTTCTAGCTGATCTTTCTTCTTATGCTACTTATCTCTTTGGAATATTGTTTAAAGATGAAAGAATATATGTTGTTGCAAATCGTGCAGACAGTAGCAAGTACTTTATTGTCAAACTGGATATGAATGGTGAAGTTGAATCTGTATACAATACAGAAAATGCACATGATAGTATAAATCAGATTATTTTTCTAAATGATCAGATAGTTGCGTTTCGCATTAATGCTGTTGATATGCTTCCCCTAGAGACTGGAGCAATTTCCTCTGTTGCGATGAATAAAGTGAATATACGGAACTCATACTCAGGAAGTGCATCTACTGACAATCTTGGAAATGTAATCCTAGGTTCAAATGCACAGCTCTTCGTCATCAACCCAAGTCTAGAGTTCGTGCATAAACTAGATACTGGTATTTCTGGCCGACTCATTTCAACAGCTGTAGATCAGCAAAACCAGTTGTGGTTCGGTACCGCCGATGGAAAACTATACTCAACCAAATATCTTAAATGATTCTATATGTACAAAACACCTCGGGGTGTCAAAGAGATATATTATTATTAGGGATGGCAATCGATTACAGAATTGCTAATCGGTTAACCGCAAGGCGTTCCGACCGATTAACCGGTTAATCGTATCAAAATGCACGTTTTCTTGACAATTGTTTTTCAAGTAGCTCTGTCCATATACACAAATAGACCCAAATAAGTCGATAGAAGTTAAAACATTCCGTTAGTATTGATTTTGGATGAGAAAAATACGGGTACATATTTTTTTATTTAAATTTCAGTAGCAAGAAAAAATTGAGAAAACCCTGAAATCTTTGCTAATTTTCCAGAGCAGATGTCACAAAAGTTCTTTCTGCATTTTCACTATGATAATCAAATCTACATGTGAACTCTAAAGCCCTTAATTTACAATATTTGTTTAATAATTAAATTGGATTGAAAACTGAAAACGACAAACACACCAATTCACAGTGCTCAATGATTCAATTATTATCATTAAAGAATTACAGGACAGACGGGGGGTAACGACATGGTGTTTTCACGGTAATTAACATTACATAAACTGACCAATTAAGCTACGATCTTTATCTGGAGATTCATAATTACATGTACGTCCAAATTAGATCCGTTAAATCCCAAATGATCATCCTTTGTGCAGAGATTTCTTTTTTTTTTTTAATATTTTTTTTTTTTAAAATGTGTTCAATTTAACAAATATTTTATTTTTTCCGATTAACCGGTTACAGATTTTCTAATCGATTGCCATCGTTCCGACCGAGTAATCGGTTAACCGGTTACAAATTGTCATCCCTAATTATTATTATTATTATATTATTCTGATATTTCAGTTTCATGACTTTTTTTTGTAAAGAGACTAGAGATCGAATTAAACTCTGCATATTAAAAAAAATTAAAAGTAAAGAACCAACTCTTTTTCTTATGAAGATATATACTTTGTTTACCTTTAAAATTCAAAGATAGCCCGAAAAGGGTAAACCTGATCTTAGACTTTAAAAGTCATAAAGTTTCTCTGCAGAATTTTGGAGATCAAAACGAGCGGAGCAAAGTCTCAAGACATGAAGTAAAGAAAAAAAAGCTGCCAATTTAGAAGGAACCTGAAAGGACAAGGTTCACTTGATATAATATTTGGCCCTGAGAATTTCAAAAAATTAAAGTTTATGCTGAATCAAAACTTTACATTGAAAATAAAGGTTGGATATATGCTTGTTAAAAAAACAAACCCGAACTTTGAGAATGTGTCCCCTGTATACTGTTTATTCGTGGTCAAATCATGCACGGAATGCGTATTTCCGGAAAAATCTTTAAAAATCAGGGACTTAAAAGCATTTTTCGATAGGTCCGCATTAAATCACCACTTTGAAATTTTCACAAATGAAACATCGATATGAAAGCAATTTATATGCAAAAAATTACGATGGTGATATTGTGCGGACCATGTTTACTTTCAAAAAATGTGTTCATTTTACAGCATGAAATACACATGCATTAGCCGGTGTTTTAATAATAGTGAGAATATACCTCGGTACCATCGCTAAAAATCCTTTAATATAAATCATAAAATCATCACATCAATATTATGAAGATCTGGTATGTATTAATTCTTTACATGTTGTTCGAATTCAGATACATTGGGCCTATAGGCCTATTAGTATATCTACATGTATATAGCATCTTACTTTCGCGCCCCCTAAGTAAGCGACAGTGGTCCGAATTAAACTATAATCTGAACGTTAGGTGGTTGAAAAAAGTAGCAGTTCAGAAAAAAATGCAGTATTTACATTTGTCGTATAAATGTTATTTTACATTTAGTTTATAACCCAGTGCCTGTGTCCATAATCATGTCAAGCTGAACATTAAAACAATTTATACGTCATTTTTGGAGTTGAACTATGTTCAATCTCCCTGGTCATCACGGGCTTTCTAAGCGCAGTAATTTGTATTGATTATATAGTGGCCTTCCGTGGGGCTTCTGTGTCGACCAATTTACTCCTGTGATATTCAATGTAAACTTGCATAAACGTCCGCCATAAAATAGTCCATTTCAATTTTCTGAATTTATCTAATTTTGATAAATGATATGAAACTAAATACAATTGAATTTCATTTAACTTAATTTGAATACTATATTTTGATTAAATTAAAATTGATTTATACAGAACTAAAAAAAAATGTTGAAAATTGTCGTCACAAACCTCCTTTGCAGCACAAACAGCGGCACCTATAAACAATGAGAGGGAAATTAACGACAACTCTGCACATGTGACTATATGACTGCGCGAAACCTCTTTGCATTGACTGACGCGTGGTAAAAATTATTTCACAATCAAAGTTATACCTTTTTTTTAGCCATAAATATTCGAAGTTTTCAACAATATTTATTTGGTAATACAATAAACATCAAAAGAATAAACAAACTACATTGATTTGGCTATAATTGAACAATTGTTCGTTTAATATTGAATCCTAACACGTTTAACATCGAAGAGGAAGAAAATCGAAGAGAAGGTGATTAACGTACACAGAAAGATAAAACTTTAAGATAAATTACTAGATTAAGCTTTTTGAGTTTTCAAGTTGTTTTCATGTGGCATAAAATTTATAAGCATTTCACATATGAAATTCTTGATAAAATAAGTCGGAACAGCCAGGTCTGACATTCGAACTACATGTACGTATGTAAATTTTAAGTGGGAAAAACAACAAATTATAACCGTTTACGTTAGATCATCTAACAAGCTGAAACTTTTTTTATTGTTATTTTTCAAAGTTCCAAACAATTAATAGTCATGTGATGAAGGAAATAAACCATGGCAAAATCTTGCAAATATTTCACCTATGCTTCTAAGTATATTAGGACAGATACAAATGTAAAGTCTATACAACTGTAAATGAATTTACTGTGCAGTGATTTTCGGAGCAGAGTTGTCAAAATTTTTGAATCACTGTCAGACATTTGGTCTGACAAAGTCAAATGATCTGTTTGACTGGACAAAGTTTTGTCAGACCAGATACATGCATCTTATTTTGTACGCTGAATCGCTGATAAAGGGAAAAAAATAATAGCACTAAAATAAGATGCCTTTTAAGTTTTATGATATTCGATCTCACAAAAAGTCCTATCTTATGATACAGAGTCTCTAATCAGAGACATGCTTTAACAATTTTGATCGACAATCGTCACCATACGGACGATTTCGGTGTTTTGTGGTCCTTACCTAGGCACAGCGTTTCAGAATTTGCATCACGTTCAATGTTTTAAACGGTCGTTTGGACCACTGTTTTCTTGTACGTTATCGGTCCAGAAAATTCCTTATCGACCTTGCCGACAAGACTGAGTGTTTTTGATAACTCTGCAGATAAGAATTACTTATAAAGAAAGAAGTAAATGTGTGACAATTTCAGATGACATTAATTTTTAATCCTCAATTTCATGAATTTATCGGCATTCAGTGGGTCACGTGTACAACACTAGTACTGGACTTGAAAAATGATGTGTTACATTAATTAATGCATTTCAACATGTCTGCATATAAAAGTGTATTGCAGTAGTACGTCATCATTGAAAAAATGTTTCATTTGATTTTATTAATAAAAACAATTAAAATGAATGAATGCATGCGTGTGCGGATACAATGGCTTATTAAGACCAGTGATCGATATGCGAGAAAGATCGATCCTCATAATTACAACAGTTTTATTTCTTGCAGTAGCTCGTTAAACTACGTCTGATTTTTAATTAAAAAAATCAAAACAGATTCAAGTCGATCGTTTTAATTCATTGAAAGTTTGAAAAACTTGTCCAGCTCAGCTACATGTATATAGTATACCTGAAATTCAATTACATTGAAATTTGTATCAAACCAAAATCACAAATAGTAAATGTCACTCGCGTTGCACAGTTGTTCAACTTCGTTTGCTCTAGAGATTCAAAGTAAGGTGTTAATCATTACGTCGTGGGTTCGAATCCAACTGCGGTATGCATTTAGAAACGGACCCTTCGGATTAGACCGTATAAACCGAGATCCCATTTCGCAGTAGGTGCTGGCACCTCCCAAAAAATCCCTCACTGCTCAATGGTTCTGAGTGTCCTGTATAGGTAAAAATTTGCAGCCCTAGCCTCCATTGGCAAGTGGTAGTGTCTCTTCATGAGTAAAAATTCTCGAAGAGATGTAAAACAAGCAAACAAAAGGCAAAGTATTCAGAGATACTTACTTCTATATAGAAATTTCTTGACATGAAATTAAAAATTATGGGATTTAAAAAAAATACATAATGATTGAGTTATAAAGATAAAAACATTTTGATAGAAAAATTAAATACAAAAATTCTATAAAAATTAATTATTGTGTCCGAAAAGAACCAGTTATACCCAAAAGATAATATCAACTTCTTGTTCCAATCAGAGGAAGAAAAAAATGACGATTTAGTGTCTGGTGATGGTAACATTGAAAATAAAGTGCCAGTTGGTTGTTGGCACCAAGGATCTTGTATATATTAGAAGAGAGTAGGGAGGGCTTTGTGCTTCAAATGCTTTCATAGGTATTTTAAATAGATTATCAATGTCCGAAAAAGTAAAGAAAGGAGCCCAGAAGATAAAGATTTTATTTTCAGAAATTGGGATGAGCTGTATCAGCATGTCCATTAATATTTTACAGATTCATATACTACTTCCAAATGATTTAAAAAAGTTACGTTTGTTTTGAGAAAACTTTGCTGCAATAGAACCATTAGAATGCAAACCATTCAAAGTTGTGTTGATTCAGTTTGCTTAACAAATTAAGACCGCGGAACATTAACTGGCAAAATTGGAAATATGCAACTTACGTCATCTCCATCTGTTACCGTCAAAATGTTAAACGATAAACAATAAAATGGGTGGGTACAATTTGACACGGACGTCCGAGAAAACATTGGATTGAAATTCTAGTTTGAAATTCATTTTCAATCCACCTCAGCTACGCAAGAACGTACGGTGTTACTGATTGACCAAGAAGACAAATAAT